GTCAGGGGGTAGGAACAAGTATTAACTCAATGTACATTCCAGGGGTCCGTATACTCATACAAGGGGTGTCAGGGGTTAGGAACAAGTATTAACTCAATGTACGTTCCAAGGGTCCGTATACTCATACAAGGGGAGTCAGGGGTTAGGAACAAGTATTTCCGAATTGCAGAACGAGACAATCTTGTTAAGATAATGGAAAGGGAGTTCAGTCCTGTTCCTTACAGTAATCCTAGTTTCTTCTACAACACACATCTGTTGATAACACATGTTCCAAACATAGGTGGATGTATACTGTCACGTTCTTTCAGTGCCAAGGAAGCCAAAGGACTATTGAAAACAGAATGAATTGCTCTTTGTTTTGTACTGATTGTCTAACTCGGGGAAACAAAGAAGAGGATGTATTTTCAAAGTTGATGATTACTGCTGTTTTACATGCTTGAAATTACATCATTTGACAAATTGAGATCAGACGTTTTATATCAATGGACAGCTTGTATCAAGTCAAGTCAAAGTCAAAGATGTTTATTGTATCAAAGGCCATCGGCCCATATACAAGTTCAGATAAATACAGTGGGTGAGAATTTACAGATTGGGAGATACAACAAAAATTATATAAATATAACATTCATTTAACAATCGGTGATAATCATGAGGACTTTCTAGGGTGAGGTAATTAAAATTATGAATTTCCACTCAACATGTTATTTCGTAGTTCCATCCCATGTTTTACAAATAAAGACAGTTTAAACATTACATCGGCATCATTCGATGACAAAATAGAAACAAAAGCTATTCTACTTGTCTTAGATAAGAAACATTCTGGTATATATTTAGTACGTAATTCTGCATAATAAGGACATTCAAAGGTAAAATGTATTTCGTCTTCTATTGCAGAGTTACAGAATGGACAAATTCTTTGTATTCTTTCAAGTGATATATTCCGTCCATAGTTAATCATAAGTTTTGACAAGCCAAGTCTGTATTTAATATATCCATTTCTTAGGTGACTATTTGTTAAAACTGATAGATATTTTTCTGGCTCTAATAGAGTCTTAAATGTTCTGTACAAATCATAACGTGAACTATTTTCCAAGTTGCATTGCCACCCTTGATAGAACATATTTATTGCTATTTTACGAAAATCATTTAGAAATAAATGTTGATCACCAACAGATTGGTTAAGCCATATATACCCATATCCATGTGAGAATAATAGTGTCCTAATATGCGATACCCATGTAACCTTACCGATACTATCTAAATGAAAGAGCATGTTATAAGCTTTTTTCGGAAGCCGATGTTCTGGCATGCGGATGATATTAAACCAATATTTTAAACACTTTATTTGTGAATTAATGTAAAGTGGGTATCTTCCACATTCTCCATATATCATATTATTTGGTGTTGCTATTCCAACGCGAAGAAACTTTTTACATGCCAGTAGGTGAATTCTTTCTAAACATTCATATCTTCGGTAACCCCACACTTCAGATCCATACAATAAAATTGGCTGTATTTGAGTATCAAATAATTTGAAAAATACTTTTGGAGTAATAACTCCAAGTTTATGTGAAACAGACATTATATTAAGTAAAGCTCGTTTCCCTCGCAGTGATAAGTCAGATACACATTTGTTCATATTTAGTGTTGAATTAAACATTATGCCGAGATACTTATAACCATTAACTACATTAATTTGTTGTCCATTTAAGTACCATCTTTCGCAACTCCCCTATGTTGATGACTGAAAAGCAACTCACGATGTTGCCACCATGTGTCCTTTGTCCTTTAAATAGTCAAACTAGTGAGCCAATTTACGAGCAGTATACCCGCCATGGGGATAGAAAAGGCCAGTGGATCAGTTTAATGTGTGGCGCTGTGTTCTTGCTTGACTTCACTGCAGCTTCAAAGCACATTCGTCGTTGTCTGGCCATTACGTTAGAAAGCAATATTTGACAACCTTGTTTCACATATTTCATATCTTACTTTTCATGGACTTTGAAGTTCAATATCTTGCCAATTACCATCATTGTTTGTTTTAGAATGCTTTGCAAGTGTTGTTACAACAATTACTACACAACTTGTGTTCGCTGTAAAGTTCTTCTGAAAACACATTTGCCCGTTGACGTCATTCAAACATCTCAGACTAGGCAAATGAATACGGTTTCAAATAGTGACTACTGGGTCTCAAAGTTATTAGAACGTTTTGGAAAATTCAAAGTTGGCATATTTTACAATTCTTAAATATCAATTCTTAAATTACAAATCCAGCCCTCTGTAATGCGAGTTAACTGGAGGCTAACGGTCAACTTTGTGTCAAAGTATGCGTATACAATCTAGGTATGCATACATCTAAGGTGTGAATCCTATTTCTGGTGTCTCGACATGATATTGCTGGAATATTGCAAAACCCCCACTCTCTCTCTCTCATACATGTGTGTGTGTGTGTGTGTGTGTGTGTGTGTGTGTGTGTGTGTGTGTGTTTGCAGATCTATACCATAAGCACATAAATTATGCAATTAATTACAGATGCGCTATAACTAAATATCAGTTGTCTTTAATTTGACAAGTAAAATAACAGTGTCCTCCCAATGTTTATCAAAGGAGACCAAACCGTTATATAAAGATGGCTGATAAATGTCACTTCCAAAATCATAGTTGTCTATGGCATTGGCGTTATCGTACTCGAGCTGATATAAACCTAATTATGCAGTTCCTAAGTCCGTCATAAATCAAGCAAAGGGCAATGTTGCCCCGTGGTCAGAGTTTACCACCAAATAGCGTCATATATCAGTCTCTAATTGTAACCCTCTGACTGGCAAGCAATCTTGTAAACTGTATACAAGTGATCTACGGACAGTTAATGTGTAATATTATAGGACAAGGGTGCAGCAACCACTCCAGCTTTTTGTGTGAGCCACAGGGATGGTGTCATGATTACTGCAGAAGTGTTTTGGAACCGGGATTCCTTAACACAGAATAATGGTCATGGTCTCCTCGAAGGGATGCCTGTCTAGGAATCTTGTTTGGCTGGGATAGGTATCGAACATGACTACTCTAAAATTGTCCATTACATGAACGTTTGTTCTCAATGGTTCACAACAACGTTTCACAACAAAGTTTCATAACAACACTTCACAAGGAACTACCTCTAAATTATTGCATACCGTTTCTTTCTTATTTGGTTGATGCAGACATCAGATAACATGGACCTTTTTTGTAAACATGTATTATAGGACAATGACATAATTACGAACAGGGTGTATGACCCTAGTCTCAAAACAGCGTATTTGTAGTGTGGACCAGTCGCCCAAGGCGCCGCAATTCGCTGTGCAGAGTGGTATCCCTCAGACGTACCAGAAATCATGATCGTGGGTTCGAATTCGAGATTCAGGGTGACAAACTGTTAAACTCACTCTCTCAATGTCTTTGCATATGACTGCAATTCTCGATCAGTTGTGGTAATGTTCTTGCTGCTAAGTGACGCTAAAATGCTGCTAGGTATTTTAAGAGTACGTCTAAAGCATGTTCAACATTTTTAGCCAACGCTGATGTCTCAGAGAAAACACCTGACAATACTCCCTGGATTCCTTAATTGACAAAATTTGTTACGCCCATTTGTCAGAAACCCTTTATTAAAATTATTTACTAATTTCCGTCAAAACTGTTATAATTGATTACCTCATGTCGTGAAGATTAAAGTGTTTGTATTGAGCGTAAATAGTTGAATTGTAAACCGTCCTTCTGGTTGTGTGGAGCGCCTATCAATATCAATGTTGCAGACACACACCAGCCCAGGATATGGTCTTTGTCGGGGAAGTCAAAACGTCAGGCCAGGTAACATGGAAATCATCTCTGCTGTATAAATATCAATCCCCTGGCAATCCATAGACATTCATGACAGGAACATAGACCAGACTACCAGGGAAAGATTTAATAAATGCCACAATATTGTTAAAATCCAAGCCTGTTGTTTTCATTTCTTTAGCTCAGCAATTTAAAGATTTTATTCTCCCATGAGATATGAGTTGTTGGCATGTTAAGGCGTCAGCGCAGATGAGGCTGTTGTACAGCCGACTGACGTCGTGAGGAGTCGGATTGATCAATATTGCAATAGAAATGGCGAGCTCATTCCGACTTCGTAGTAAACTACAAGAAATGGTGCACACTGTGTGACCCATGTCATGAAAGTTAGTATGATGTGGGACAGGGAATGCATGACTTGCGTGTCTATTGCAGGGGTTGATTTGAAATTAACACGGAAATAAGAGTCATAAACAAGGGACGGGACGTGTAAGCTGGACTAGTGTTGTGTGCTTTAAAGTTTTGAAATACGCAGTGTAGTTAAAGGTTAAAAATATACAACAATGTTCATTAGACTACAGGAGGACGTTTGTACTTATGGCGTCCTACAAGCAGCTTCATTGTTTACGGAGAACATGTTGAAGATTGCAAAAACCACCAAAGGAAATTGAGTGCTCTTTGAAGCAGGGCTTGAATTTCTTGAGAATAAATACTGTGACGTTTAAATTAACATTGTGCTTCTATCAATAGATCCTGTTACAAGGGGAACATACTTGTGTCTCATTATGCCGTCAGGGTACCGAATTATTCATTGAGAATTTGAATACAGGTTAATGTGTTGAAGATTGAAACAGGGTGCTGCTGTAAAGAAGCGAAGTAGTCTAAGATAAAAAACACACTGAAACTCCTGTTGATTAGATTCCAGAAAACATACCAAGGCCCATTCCAAATACATCTATAATAAGAAGACGCTCTTGTATATTCCGATTTCCGATACTATGATAATATTACGTTAACAGTTAATATTACGAGAAAGGATCGTGACATAATTCTCCTCTCGTCTCAGCACACTATCATAATATCGTACTGTTTGTTTGAAAGATGCCTTTGTCTGCTGAGTAGGAGAAGTTCAGAGTTGAAGACACAGCTTCTGCCATCAGAGACAGAGAAAAAGGCAACGAGCAGAATTAGCTTTTTGAACTGTTTATTTATAAAACAAACACGGTTGATCGTCCCAGGTTGTATGTACAGCAATCTGAGTGACGCATCGAATATTAGGAAAAGTAGGGAACTCAGCTACAGTCAACCCCCGTTAGACCGGACTCTGGAACACCAGATCATACCGTTTGGAACGTCTTAAAGTCTGTTTGAATGGAAGATGGCATTACCCCGTACACAGTATTCGTTAATCCGGGTACATGATAATCTTGATGCCTTCGTCCGGATTTAAATGGTTTGCTGCTTTTGCTAACGTGCAACATTGTATTCCTATCCTGCAAACATTGAATTCCTATCCTGCAACGTTGTATTCCTATCCTGCAAACATGGTATCCCTGTCCTGAAACAATGTATTCCTATCCTGCAAACATTGTATTCCTATCCTGCAGACATGGTATTCCTATCCTGGAACATTTCTATTCCTATCCTGCAATAATTGAAATCCTATCCTGCACACATTTTATTCCTATCCTGCAAACATTGTATTCCTATCCTGCAGACATGGTATTCCGGTCCTGCAACATTGTATTCGTTGTTATCTCCTGAATTAAATGCACATATTCGTGAAGTAGACAGTTCATTCAATCAATTTCCGTAAATGTTTCATCAATCAATAAGTCATTATGAATAGTGTGTAAATGAATGTAATGCAACAGCGAACAAGTGTGTTTGTACAGTGGACACATAGGATTCAAATGATGACGTCATGAGCTACGGTTGTTACGGTGGAACACCTGTTCATATTGGATACCTCATAGTGTAATGCCATGTATATCAATTACTAGTACATGTGGTTGAAACACGACACTGCAAGAAGGGGCAGTTTCAGTACTGAAATGGATTTGGCGTTTTGGAAATGTTTAAGGCACGTTATACTGTCAGTAATATATACATATTTACTCAAAAGTGTTTAATAAATCTCTAGGCCGACACTTGTACAACCATTTACTGACGGACATATGCGCATTATTCAACGAAGAGAGTGTTAGCCCCTGTATGGAGCTGGGTGTGTACTTGGAGCCTGCGTTTGATCGTTCTCGTCATCGGAGAATGACATGTCTGTCTCCGTATAGCAGCAAATAACATTTAAACATTTCAAAACCCAAATATTTTTTAGAAGAACATTTATAGAAGACACGCTATACATCCAGTTTGACAAGGAAAGGTTGCAGCGAGCTCTTGGTGTCAAATTATTTAAGCATATCGATATTGTTCCACGCGGGCACAAGCCCTAGACGTTCTATTGTGTCTACGTTATATTGTAACAGTGTGTGCTACTGCCACAGTGTCTGTACTACATTATGTTTGTTTTACCTTAACATAGAGTGTATGTATTACAGCAACAGTGTATGCTACTGCCACAGTGTCTGTACCACATTATGTTTGATTTACCTTAACACAGAGTGTATGTATTACAGCAACAGTGTATGTTACTGCCACAGTGTATGTACTACATAATGTTTGTATTACCGTAATATTTAGTGTATGTATCATAGCAACAGTGTACGTATTATAGCCACAGTGTATGTACTACATTATGTTTGTATTACCGCAATATTTAGTGTATGTATCATAGCAACAGTGTATGTATTATAGCAACAGTGTATGTACTACATTATGTTTGTATTACCGTAACATATAGTGTATGTATTATGGCTACAGTGTACGTTACTGCCACAGTGTATGTACCACATTATGTTTGTATTACCGTAATATTTAGTGTATGTATTATAGCAGCAGTGTATGCGTTATAGCAGCAGTGTATGTACTACAGAATATTTGTATTACCATATCATAGAGTGTACGCATTAAAGCAACAGTGTATGTATTACATTATCTTTGTAATACCGTAACATATTGTGTATGTGTCATAGCAACAGTGTATGTATTATAGCAACAGTGTCAGTACTACAGAATGTTTGTATTACCGTAACATATAGTGTATGCATTATAGCAACAGTGTATGTTACTGCCACAGTGTATGTACTACAGTACGTTTGTATTACCGTAACACATAGTATATGTATTATAGCAACAGTGTATGTACTACATTATGTTTGTATTACCGTAACATAGAGCGTAAGTATTATAGCAACAGTGTATGTACTACATTATGTTTGTATTTCAGTAACATAGAGTGTAAGTATTATAGGAGCAGTGTATGTACTACAGAATGTTTGTATTACCGTAACATATAGTGTATGCATTATAGCAACAGTGTATGTTACTGCCACAGTGTATGTACTACAGTACGTTTGTATTACCGTAACACATAGTATATGTATTATAGCAACAGTGTATGTACTACATTATGTTTGTATTACCGTAACATATAGTGTATGCATTATAGCAACAGTGTATGTTACTGCCACAGTGTATGTACTACAGTACGTTTGTATTACCGTAACACATAGTATATGTATTATAGCAACAGTGTATGTACTACATTATGTTTGTATTACCGTAACATAGAGCGTAAGTATTATAGCAACAGTGTATGTACTACATTATGTTTGTATTTCAGTAACATAGAGTGTAAGTATTATAGGAGCAGTGTATGTACTACAGAATGTTTGTATTACCGTAACATATAGTGTATGCATTATAGCAACAGTGTATGTTACTGCCACAGTGTATGTACTACAGTACGTTTGTATTACCGTAACATAAAGCGGATGCATTATAGCAACAGTGTATGTACTACATTATGTTTGTTTTACCGTAACATAAAGTGTATGTATTATAGCAACAGTGTATGTTACTGCTATGTTATATATGTACTACATTATGTTTGTATTACTGTAACATGTTTGTTTGTTTATTTCCTATTTGATGAAATGTACAATATGACTATATTTGACCAAGGTGGAGTTTATGTATGTCCGAATATTTAGAAATGTTCTAAGCTTAAAAGCAAAAAAATATACTATGATGGGGTCTGACAAACATTTAGTATTAACTTTTATAGTAGACAAGATAGATGCGAACCTTTCTGGACAGGGATTGTTGTGATGAATCGGAGCTAACATAATTAACCATAACGTTCGAAATAAGTACAGACACTGTTTTCAAAATATATCCCTGTTTTTCTCCCCTTTTCCTGTTCTAGATTGTGGTTGCTGCATCGACATTTTAAAAGTGCCATTCGAAACGCATTATTTTCAACTCAAGTAAGATAAGTTCCTGTTCGTAATAAAGATGTATATGTATAATACGCTGCTAGTTTCGAGTTTTGTGTTAAACTATCGTTCCAGGTTTGTTGGCCGCAATCGTTAATAGGTTGCTTAACATTACAATCCCCGCAGTCTTAAATAATCCATGCATAACCAAATATAAACGTTACCCCAGATCTACCAAATTTATCTATCAAAATAGCATAAAATACGTTTGCTTTGGCAATTTAATAGGATTCACAGGAAAAGTTGTATATTATACTTTATTACTTTAGCGGCATGATATAAAAATCTTTTGTCTTCCACATTCTACAAGGGCAGCACTGTTACTAACAGAATTTGGTAAGTTCAATATTAAAAGAAATTAATAAAGAAATTAGAAAAATATAACTGTAACATGCAGTGTATGCTTCACAGCAACAGTGTATGTTTTTGCCATTATGTATATGTACTAAATTATGTTTGTATTACTGAAACATGTAATTTATGTATTTTGCAACAATATATATTACTGCCATATTGTTTGTACTACATTGTGTCTCTGTTACTGTAACATATAGTGTATGTGTTACTGTAACAGTGTACATATTACTGTCATATTGTATATGCACTACATTTCTGTTAACAGAGTATGCATTTGTGTGTATCCCCGCAGCACTGTGTGTGTTTCCACGGCTGTGTGTATCCCCGCAGCACTGTGTGTATCCCCGCAGCACTGTGTGTATCCCCGCAGCACTGTGTGTATCCCCGCAGCACTGTGTGTATTTCCACGGCTGTGTGTATCCCCGCAGCACTGTGTGTATTTCCACGGCTGTGTGTATCCCCGCAGCACTGTGTGTATTTCCACGGCTGTGTGTATCCCCGCAGCACTGTGTGTATTTCCACGGCTGTGTGTATCCCCGCAGCACTGTGTGTATTTCCACGGCTGTGTGTATCCCCGCAGCACTGTGTGTATTTCCACGGCTGTGTGTATCCCCGCAGCACTGTGTGTATTTCCACGGCTGTGTGTATCCCCGCAGCACTGTGTGTATTTCCACGGCTGTGTGTCACTGTTCCTCCGACACACAAGAGACAAGATGATTTTCATCGAATGAATTCATTGGTGAATCGAACTGGTATGATTGTTGTTTCGTGCAGATAGATGACACCACTTGGAGTCAAGGAAGAACAGCTCTCACTCGCTGAGATACGCTGCAAGCAAAGTGACGAGTTTTAATATAGGCACATATTACAGCATTTATTTATTTGTTTGTTTGTTGTTTAACGCCGCACTCAGCACTATTCCTATCTACATGACGGCGGTCTGTAAATAATAGCTTCTAAACCAGACAATCCAGTGAACGACATTATGAGTGAGTGAGTGAATATGGTTTTACGCCGTTTTTAGCAATATTCCAGCAATATCACAGCGGGGGACACCAGAAATGGGCTTCACACATTATACCCATGTCGGGAATCGAACCCGGGTCTTCGGCGTGACGAGCGAACGCTTTAACCACTAGGCTACCCGACCGCCCCGAATGACATTATGAGCATCGATCCACGCGATAGGGATAAGATTACATGCATCAACATAGTCAGCATGCCTGACAACCTGATCCCGTTAGTCGCAACTTACGGCAAGCATAGGTTGCTGAAGACCTATTCTAAAACATAATATGGGACCAAGCACCACGGAAACACGCTTCACTGGGGCCATATGCTGGGATGACACTATTTAAAATATACAGGAGTAAAATGCACTGACACATGACGTCAAATTATTAAATTCATTATCTATAATTATTTTTGTCTTCCTTTAGTATAACAACGATGAATACTGTAGACCGCCTTTAATTCCATTTTTATTGTCCAAAGTAACAACAATATGTTTACACTATTACAGGCAGGAAATGATCGTCTTGAAGGATAGTGTTTCCTGATTGACCGGGTCTGGTTTCCAGGGGTTTCACTGTTCCAGCATATAGTGCAGGGAAGAAGCACACATTGGTCAATATCAATACTATGCAAGTACTGGTGAAACATGAATACCTATAAGTGGACGTCCCTGGCTGGTTCAGCGGTCGTGTGGTGGTAGCTCTGGGGAGGTCTGGAAATGAGCGTCAAATAAGGAAGAAAGTATAATTTTCTGAGACATTTTCACGAGTTCACTTTAAGACAAAGATATCAGTAGATACACGTGCATACCGATGACCTATCATCACCTTAAGACAAAATTACCAGCAGATAGACGTGCACACCAATGGCCTATCATCACCTTAAGACAAAGTTACCAGTAGATACACGTGCACACCAATGGCTTATCATCACTTTAAGACAAAGTTATAAGTAGATACACGTGCATACCGATGACTTATCATCACTTTATGACAAAATTACCAGTAGATACACGAGCATACCAATGGCCTATCATCACCTTAAGACAAAGTTACCAGTAGATACACGTGCACGCCAATGGCTTATCATCACTTTGAGACAAAGTTACCAGTAGATACACGTGCATACCAATGGCTTATCATCACCTTAAGACAAAGTTACCAGTAGATACACGTGCACAATATTGGCTTATCAACACAATTAAGACAAAGTTATCAGCAGATACACGTGCACGCCAATGGCTTATCATCACTTTGAGACAAAGTGAACAGTCGAGACACGTGCACACCACTAATGGCTTATCATCACTTTAAGACAAAATTATCAGCAGATACACGTGCACACCAATGGCTTATCAACACAATTAAGACAAAGTTACCAGTAGATACACGTGCGCACAGGTAAACATATATTTATTTAGAGGCACGATTGCTGTACTAGATATATATGGACCAAAATGAGCTGACATACCTATGACGGGAAGTGATACAAGTTGTGTAGTACTGTGTGGTCCACTGAAGGAGGTCTTTGTGAGGAAGGTGTCACACGGTGTGATGTCACTGCTCGGGTACGGAAGGATGTTGTATCAATGCGTTGTTTCACTTCACGAGTACAGAAGGATGTTGAATTACGGCATGGCGTCACTTCTCAAATACAGAGGATGTTGTATCACTGCATGATTTCACTTCTCGAGTACAGAAGGATGTTGAATTACGGCATGGCGTCACTTCTCGAGTACAGAGGATGTTGTATCACTGCATGATTTCACTTCTCGAGTACGGAAGGATGTTGTATCACTGCATGGTTTCACTTTTCGAGTATGGAAGGATGTTGTATTGCGGCGTGGTTTCACTTCTCGTGTACAGAAGGATGTTGTATCACTGCATGATTTCACTTCTCGAGTAGAGAAGGATGTTGTATCACTGCGTGGTTTCACCTTTCCAGTACAGAAGTAGATTGAATTTCGGCGTGGCCTCACTTCTCGTGTACAGAAGGATGTTGTATCACTGCATGATTTCACTTCTCGTGTACAGAAGGATGTTGTATCACTGCGTGGTTTCACTTCTCGAGTAGGGAAGGATGTTGTATCACTGCGTGGTTTCACTTTTCCAGTACAGAAGTATATTGAATTTCGGCGTGGCCTCACTTCTCGTGTACAGAAGGATGTTGTATCACTGCGTGGCCTCACTTCTCGAGTACGGAAGGATGTTGTATCACTGCGTGGTTTCACTTCCCACATACAAGAAGAGTTATCAGGGCGAGGTTTCACTTCCCGGGTATGTGAGGAGGTGTCACTTCCCGACACCAGTACATGCTGTATCGCGGCCTGTTTTCGCTACCAGAGAGGGATGATGTATCAAGAATAAGTCCTTCGTCGACGTTGAGACGGTTAAATTTATCACTTCATGGTGTGAAAGAGTACAATGTCCCCTCCATCAGGGTTCTATCCACGACACTGATGGAGGAGAATCTGCTGGTTCAATGATGTAACAAGCCCTACAGCCAAACACTGAAGGTACATCCTGACAACAACGGTTCTTCTGGTCCCATTAATGTTCCTAACGTCGCTAAACGACGAATGAGTGAAAATGAGGTATCGAATGCTGATATATATATAGAGAGATGATGGGGATGAATAAATACTAGGTACAATGATGTGAAAATATATCCAGGTGAATGTTTCCGTTATCGATGAATACTCTTACTCCGACGTGCTCTCTTTCGGTGTAATCCCAAATGTCGGCACATTCTTGTCGGAGTTATCCCGTTTAATCCATTCAAAATATCACAAACACAAAGTTTAGAATGACGGTGAGGAAAGACGGAGTAGTGTCGTAAAGGAGGTCGTCACCTTGGACACCAGACGCATATTTTTAAAACTGTCAAAACAATCATGAGAATTACAAATGTAAAGTTGTGGGAAGAATAAGTCCCGTTGTTAGAGCTAGTTGCTCCACTTGTTGAATTTTTCGGAGCTGTACCTGAAACACAAACATTACCCATTGAAACACCTCCACACACTAACATGTTAATATGTACATTCGCAGGACACACCTTAGCGTTATATTTAGTCAATAACTGCTCGTTTACAATTACGATTAGGACAAATACAAATGAAATATATCTGTAAAAAGTATTTGATAAACATTGAGGAAGAGGGCACATCTCATAGATGAATCGTTAGTCTTATATAGAACATGCCTCGAGTTTCACTAATTATAGTTACCAACCCTAAACGAACTTTACTGGGCGTAACAAATCTGTATTAAAGCATCCTACCTCTTTTCCAGTTTGAAGTATCAGCTGAAAATGAATAAATTCGGTGTTAATAGAAACGAGACAATGGTTGCTGAAGATTCCTTCAAATAGTGAGAGCGTTTGTTTGTACACCGCTTTAACCGATTGGGCAGGATGCGCTCATCTTTCGCAAACACCTTGCGGCATCACTCTTTAACAGTGATCCATGATCACATGCTTGTGATATATTCGCAGTCGTTCATTGGACTTGTGCTTATGGAAAGGGTGTTTTCATGAAATAACTGTTCTTTAACCGCAACATTCCTTTACATGTTTAATGGTTGATAGTTTAACTAGAGAAGCAGGACAGTACATACTTTTTAATACGTTGACTCTCGCACTTGTAATCTGGAGATCAGAAGTCCGGCAAACGTACATCCCAGCATCCTCCAGTGTTGCATCCTTTATCTCAAGAATGCTGACAATTGTCTTGGTTGTCAAGGAAACAAACTTCCTTATGTACACCTTATTTGCATATTGGGTTAAAAGTTTATTCCCATTTTTGAACCAGTCCAGATCGTCGGGTGGGTGATCTTTGCCTGTGGCATTGCACATGAGGAGGATCGTATCCCCCTTCTCTACAAAAGGTTTACCTGTAATTTGTATATCTGAAAGTAAATATACAGATAAAACACGGATGAGTTGATGACGTTGTTTTACTTTGTTAAACTATTTAAAAAAAAGAAGAAGCATTAAGTTATATTATAGTAAAGAAGAAGAGGTTATACTATGGAATTTACTTTAAGACAAGTCATGATTCATGGTGTAGATAAATGAATAGTTGTTTAGTGACAACGTTAGGATGGTCAACTGGAACACCCCTAAAACAAAACATTACCTGTATAAAAAAGGTGATATCAGAAAGTCTTGAGCCTAGCTTATATTGATATTGACCTGTGTTTGAGTAATGTTTCACAATTTTGCAAGCTACAGTCCACTGACTTGCTGATAATTGACTTAGACACTCTGGCACCCTACTCCATACCATGACATGGACAACACTTGGTATAGAGCACCATTTTGGGGACACTGTTTTAAGTAGATTTCTTATGATAATGGCAAGGGGTTGTGTCGCTTGCGTTTACCCTAAAGGATCAGACACCAACGAATATCAATGATCGTTGCATGACGTATATGGGGAGACTGCCTCATTAAGCGTGGTGTGAAAGAATTCAGTATGGGAGGGGGAAATAAGAAAATGCCACCACGACACCAGACAGGAAAGCATTGATGCAGTACACAACATGATAATGCCCAATTGCCACATTGGACCCTGTGAGGTTTTTGAAAAGCGTGTGTTAGTCAAAGGGCTGTTCGCCATCAGGACAGTGTGGATGCAATGACTGCTGTACAAAAATGAGGACATGAGCTTCTGTCTCATCCCCTTATTCAAGAGACCCGACCCCAGGTATCACTACCTGATGTCAATGTTTGCAAAAAAACACCTGCATGATCAGAGACATATAACAAGGAACAGGAAATGGTTACATCTGTGTGGGCTAGATGACAGATTTGATCTACTACAAAACAAGAATGACCCACCTGTTGGAACGATAGAACAAGTGAACTAGTATATGTCAAGGTAGATAATAGTTATATATTCAATAATTGTCAAATAGCCAATTCCCTTCCACTGATTTACCCGACTGAAGTGGACAGAAAGATCAGATTAACCGCTTTATCTGTTTGATGTTTAGATCCATGTATTTCGATGCAAAATGACTCGAAACTCTCCACAAGATTGTATGACAAGATGACCGCCTCCGTGGGGTAGTGGTAGAGCGTTCTGCCACGAGAACGGAAGCCCGGGGGCTTGATCCCCGCGCGCGTCATCCCAAAGCTATTTTCCTAGGGTTATAATGTTCAAAGTTAGGCTTTCAAATCGTTTTGTGGTAGACATGTGGAGGAGGACATTTCCAAACTTGACGTGTCAGTGAGAAACCGATGTCCGATGTAATTCCTTATTTTGACTTATGACATCACGGTTCCCATCTTCATTTAGATGAACACTTTACTTGCCATTGCATGTGGTTGTGACAGGTGTCACCGATGGAGCTACCTACACGCGACAACCTGATACCATGACTATTTGATAGTGATTCATAAACACATTCTCCTTATATCGTCAGACTCGTGCACCGTACACTGCTTGCAGCAGAGCTTTCTTACAGTTAAAGAAAGGGTTTACACTGCTTTTATTGAATTGAAAGGGGACTGTGTAGAAATGTGATAAAAATGCACGACAATATTTCAGTGACATGTATGCTAGGCTCTAAACATTTTGATTCCCCTCGAATCATTATTTATTATATTACAAGAAAAAAATACTCTATTAAACCCTCTAACATAAAGACATGACACAGTGACAAATAAGAAAAAATGATATAAAATCCGAAGATAAATGTATTGTTACGCTGACAAACACATCAAGCCAAAGACGGAAATACGAAAGACAACTTGTAAGAATCCATCAAACAATCACCATTCACAAACTACACGAAGGAATGACAACAATGTTTAATGACGTTTCTCTGCCGATTTTAAAATACAAGTATATTGTTGTTGGGCCTCTAACGACAAAATGCAATCACATACAACGATGACATGTTTTGCAGAAACGCAGTACAGCACAATGACGATACACTGCAGCTGCAAGAACGGGATCCACGCGAGAATGTTATTCTCCGTGTTAAGAAAACTATGTTCGACTCATTGCAAACGTGATGGAAATTTGGTGTAAATGCCGATTGCCATGCCACAAGAAGAGAAACTTGAAGACGACAATGATGAATTACCGTAAAGATCACCAAGAATTATGCCAGGTCTTCCAGACAGATCTGTAAATGTTGGTTTCAGAATGAATTGGTAATGGCTAACGTGGTTATTTTAGTCAGTGAGTAATAGAAACCATTTAACATGTTATAAAATATACTCACAAACTGTGAATAACAGATTTCAGAACACACTACCCCCGAGAATGCATACTGACAACTAAAGTAATATAGACGATTCCTCGAAACCAAGCACATTTATAATATATATATAATAACCGAGATAAAGGTGAAGAAGTCTAACAAAGGAAGAACATGACATTGACCACCAACAGAGACATTGTTGAAGATGATACTGTTACGGCAACGTTTCTTAGTGTAGTGTATGCCATGTTGAAGTTGATTCTGTTACGGCAACGTGTCTCAGTGTAGTATATACCATGTTGAAGATGATACTGTTACGGCAACGTGTCTCAGTGTACTATATACCATGTTGACGATGATACTGTTACGGCAACGTGTCTCAGTGTAGTATATACCATGTTGACGATGCTACTGTTACGTTAACGTGTCTCAGTGTAGTATATACCATGTTGACGATGCTACTGTAACGTTAACGTGTCTCAGTGTAGTATATACCATGTTGACGATGCTACTGTTACGTTAACGTGTCTCAGTGTAGTATATACCATGTTGACGATGCTACTGTAACGTTAACGTGTCTCAGTGTAGTATATACCATGTTGACGATGATACTGTTACGGCAACGTGCCCTAGTGTACTATATACCATGTTGACGATGATACTGTTACGGCAACGTGTCTCAGTGTAGTATATACCATGTTGACGATGCTACTGTTACGTTAACGTGTCTCAGTGTAGTATATACCATGTTGACGATGCAACTGTAACGTTAACGTGTCTCAGTGTAGTATATATCATGTTGACGATGATACTGTTACGGCAGCGTGTCTTAGTGTAGTATATACCATGTTGACGATGCTACTGTAACGTTAATTTGTCTCAGTGTAGTATATACCATGTTGAAGTTGAATCTGCCACGGCAACGTGTCTTGGTGTAGTATATATGATGTTTAAGATCATACCGTTACTGCAACGTTTCACAGTATAGAATATACCATGTTGACGATGATACTGTTACGGCAACGTGTCACAGTGCAGTATATACCATGTTAAAGTTGATTCTGTTACGGCAACGTGTCACAGTGTAGTATATGCCATGTTGAAGTTGATTCTGTTACGGCAGCGTGTCACATTGTAGTATATACCATGTTAAAGTTGATTCTGTTACGGCAGCGTGTCACAGTGTAGTATATACCATGTTGAAGTTGATTCTGTTACGTTAACGTTTCTCAGTGTAGTATATACCATGTTGAAGTTGAATCTGCCACGGCAGCGTGTCTCACTGTAGTATATACCATGTTGAAATTGATACTGTAACGGCAACGTATCTGTGTGTAGTATATGCCATGTTGAAGTTGGTTCTGTTACGGCAACGTGTCTCAGTGTAGTATATACCATGTTGAAGTTGGTTCTGTTACGGCAGCGTGTCTGAGTGTAGTATATACCATGTTGAAGTTGGTTCTGTTACGGCAGCGTGTCTTAGTGTAGCATATACTATGGTGAAGTTGATACTGTTACGGCAACGTGTCTTATTTTAGTTTACACCATTTTGAAATAATGCTGTTACGGCAAGGTGTCATAGTGCAGTATATACCATGTTGAAATGATACTGTTACGGCAACGTGTCGTAGTGCATTATATACCATGTTAAAGATGATACGGTTACGGCAACGTGTCTTAGTGCAAAATATACCATGTTGAAAATGATACTGTTACGGCAACATGTCTTAGTGCAGTATATACCATTTTGAAATGATACTGTTACGGCAACGTGTCTGTGTGTTATGTTTACACTGTTGAAGATTATTCTGTTACGGCAACGTGTCTCAGTGTAGTATATACCATGTTGACGATGGTACTATTACGGCAACGTGTCACAGTGTAGTATATACAATATTGAAGTTGATTCTGTCACGGCAACGTGTCTTAGTGTAGTATATTCCATGTTGACGATGCTACTGCAACGTTAACGTGTCTCAGTGTAGTATATACAATGTTGAAGTTGAATCTGCCACGGCAACGTGTCTTGGTGTAGTATATATGATGTTTAAGATCATACCGTTACTGCAACGTTTCATAGTATAGAATATACCATGTTGACGATGATACTGTTACGGCAACGTGTCACAGTGTAGTATAAACCATGTTAAAGTTGATTCTGTTACGGCAACGTGTCTCAGTGTAGTATATACCATGTTGACGATGCTACTGTAACGTTAACGTGTCTCAGTGTAGTATATACAATGTTGAAGTTGAATCTGCCACGGCAACGTGTCTTGGTGTAGTATATAAGATGTTTAAGATCATACCGTTACTGCAACGTTTTATAGTATAGAATATACCATGTTGACGATGATACTGTTACGGCAACGTGTCACAGTGTAGTATATACCATGTTAAAGTTGATTCTGTTACGGCAACGTGTCTCAGTGTAGTATATACCATGTTGACGATGCTACTGTAACGTTAACGTGTCTCAGTGTAGTATATACAATGTTGAAGTTGATTCTGTTACGGCAACGTGTCCCAGTGTAGTATATACCATGTTGACGATGGTACTGTAACGTTAACGTGTCTCAGTGTAGTATATACAATGTTGAAGTTGAATCTGCCACGGCAACGTGTCTTGGTGTAGTATATATGATGTTTAAGATCATACCGTTACTGCACGTTTTATAGTATAGAATATACCATGTTGACGATGATACTGTTACGGCAACGTGTCTCAATGAAATATATACAATGTTGAAGTTGGTTCTGTTACGGCAACGTGTCTCAGTGTAGTATATACCATGTTGAAGTTGATTCTGTTACGGCAACGTGTCTCAGTGTAGTATATACCATGTTGACGATGCTACTGTAACGTTAACGTGTCTCAGTGCAGTATATACCATGTTGACGATGATACTGTTACGGCAACGTGTCACAGTGTAGTATATACCATGTTAAAGTTGATTCTGTTACGGCAACGTGTCTCAGTGTAGTATATACCATGTTGACGATGCTACTGTAACGTTAACTTGTCTCAGTGTAGTATATACAATGTTGAAGTTGAATCTGCCAAGGCAACGTGTCTTGGTGTAGTATATATGATGTTTAAGATCATACCGTTACTGCAACGTTTCATAGTATAGAATATACCATGTTGACGATGATACTGTTACGGCAACGTGTCACAGTGTAGTATATACCATGTTAAAGTTGATTCTGTTACGGCAACGTGTCTCAGTGTAGTATATACCATGTTGACGATGCTACTGTAACGTTAATTTGTCTCAGTGTAGTATATACAATGTTGAAGTTGAATCTGCCACGGTAACGTGTCTTGGTGTAGTATATATGATGTTTAAGATCATACCGTTACTGCAACGTTTCATAGTACAGAATATACCATGTTGACGATGATACTGTTACGGCAACGTGTCACAGTGTAGTATATACCATGTTAAAGTTGATTCTGTTACGGCAACGTGTCTCAGTGTAGTATATACCATGTTGAAGTTGATTCTGTTACGGCAGCGTGTCACTGTGTAGTATATACCATGTTGAAGTTGATTCTGTTACGGCAGCGTGTCACAGTGTAGTATATACCATGTTGAAGTTGATTCTGTTACGGCAACGTGTCTCATTGTAGTATATACCATGTTGAAGTTGATTCTGTTACGTTAACGTGTCTCAGTGTAGTATATACCATGTTGACGATGATTCGGTTACGGCAACGTGTCTCAATGTAGTATATACAATGTTGAAGTTGGTTATGTTACGGCAACGTGTCTCAGTGTAGTATATACCATGTTGAAGTTGATTCTGTTACGGCAACGTGTCTCAGTGTAGTATATACCATGTTGAAGATGATAATGTTACGGCAACGTGTCACAGTGTAGTTTATACCATGTTAAAGTTAATTCTGTTACGGCAACGTGTCTCAGTGTAGTATATACCATGTTGAAGTTGATTCTGTTACGTTAACGTGTCTCAGTGTAGTATATACCATGTTGAAGTTGATTCTGTTACGGCAACGTGTCTCAGTGTAGTATTTACCATGTTGACGATGCTACTGTAACGTTAACGTGTCTCAGTGTAGTATATACAATGTTTAAGTTGGTTCTGTTACGGCAACGTGTCTTATTGTTGTATATATAATGTTTAAGATGATACCGTTACAGCAACGTGTCTCAGTGTAGTATATACCATGTTGACGATGATACTGTTACGGCAACGTGTCTGAGTGTAGTATATACCATGTTGAAGTTGATACTGTTACGGCAACGTGTCTGAGTGTAGTATATACCATGTTGAAGTTGATTCTGTTACGGCAACGTGTCTTATTGTTGTATATATAATGTTTAAGATGATACCGTTACAGCAACGTGTCTGAGTGTAGTATATATGATGTTGACGATGATACTGTTACGGCAACGTGTCACAGTGTAGTATATACCATGTTAAAGTTGATTCTGTTACGGCAACGTGTCTCAGTGTAGTATATACCATGTTGACGATGCTACTGTAACGTCAACGTGTCTCAGTGTAGTATATACAATGTTTAAGTTGAATCTGCCACGGCAACGTGTCTTGGTGTAGTATATATGATGTTTAAGATCATACCGTTACTGCAACGTTTCATAGTATAGAATATACCATGTTGACGATGATACTGTTACGGCAACGTGTCACAGTGTAGTATATACCATGTTAAAGTTGATTCTGTTACGGCAACGTGTCTGAGTGTAGTATATACAATGTTGACGATGCTACTGTAACGTTAACTTGTCTCAGTGTAGTATATACAATGTTGAAGTTGAATCTGCCACGGCAACGTGTCTTGGTGTAGTATATATGATGTTTAAGATCATACCGTTACTGCAACGTTTCATAGTACAGAATATACCATGTTGACGATGATACTGTTACGGCAACGTGTCACAGTGTAGTATATACCATGTTAAAGTTGATTCTGTTACGGCAGCGTGTCACAGTGTAGTATATACCATGTTGAAGTTGATTCTGTTACGGCAGCGTGTCACAGTATAGTATATACCATGTTGAAGTTGATTCTGTTACGGCAACGTGTCTCATTGTAGTATATACCATGTTGAAGTTGATTCTGTTACGTTAACGTGTCTCAGTGTAGTATATACCATGTTGACGATGATTCGGTTACGGCAACGTGTCTCAATGTAGTATATACAATGTTGAAGTTGGTTCTGTTACGGCAACGTGTCTCAGTGTAGTATATACCATGTTGAAGTTGATTCTGTTACGGCAACGTGTCTCAGTGTAGTATATACCATGTTGAAGATGATAATGTTACGGCAACGTGTCACAGTGTAGTTTATACCATGTTAAAGTTAATTATGTTACGGCAACGTGTCTCAGTGTAGTATATACCATGTTGACGATGATACTGTTACGTCAACGTGTCTCAATGTAGTATATACAATGTTGAAGTTGGTTCTGTTACGGCAGCGTGTCTCACTGTAGTATATACCATGTTGACGATGATACTGTTACGTCAACGTGTCTCAATGTAGTATATACGATGTTGAAGTTGGTTCTGTTACGGCAACGTGTCTTATTGTTGTATATATAATGTTTAAGATGATACCGTTACAGCAACGTGTCTCAGTGTAGTATATACCATGTTGACGATGATACTGTTACGGCAACGTGTCTGAGTGTAGTATATACCATGTTGAAGTTGATTCTGTTACGTCAACGTGTCTTGATGTTGTATATACCGCAAAACATCAAGTCATATCATACCGAGATAAATGTCCACTATCCTTTAAACACAACTGACAAAGAAAGCACGTTTTACCGACAGCACACGAGAAAGTGACTTCGAGGTCATGCGGTTCTGGTATACATGAAATACTTACCCAACGCTGTTTTTGTCGTACGACGCTCTGAAACATAGGGATGAAGTACATTAATTATAGTCGGTGTTAAAGATTATCATTCATCAGGGCATAGAACTAAATAGCGATACAAGACATTCTTGGTTTAGAACCCGCAAAAAAATTTGATGTTGATCTACATGGGGGATAACTTAACTGGCTCCCCAATCAATGGACCCAAGACATAGATATTGAGTATTGAAGGTCGTTAACGAAATAGGCGTGTTGTCTAGCAACAAACATAAATACGAAGCCATCTTCATATTACTTTTCAAACAGTTACTGTGCTAAATTTGGTAATCAGTTGTAATAACTGAAAATTAGGATTTCGTTAAAACAACATTTCATAAACAAGTGTAAATAAAAAAAAGGTACAAATATATCCCCCGAAACAAATAATTAGCAATCATGAAACCTCTTGTACCCCTTCATCGGTACCATAAAATACTCACCTCTTACAATCAGTAAGATATGTGATCTTAAATGTCGAACCTTTGATGGAACCTGACATTCGTATATACCCGCATCTTCCAGATTAACCTTGTCAATGACAAGATGCCATTTTGACGACCCCTGAGGGTGACGTATACTAAATCTGTTATCATCTATAAACGTCAGAGTTCCCACCGTCAGAGGACTGGACTCAGAGGCTCTTCGCCAGCTAACCTGAAGAACAATAAACACAAATACAATATACATGATGATGATAGATAGTCAGTTGTTGTAATAATGTCACCTGTCTTGTCTGTTTATCTTAAGTCTTGTATTCCTGTGGGACTCCGGGTTACAATCGGTCCCAACCAACTAATGCGGCCAAGTAGAACGAATTGTAAGACTCGTTGACTTTGTTCATTGCATGTTATCCCTCGTACCCCGACGGCGTTGCGAACATCAATCACTGGATTGTCTGGTTGAGACTCGATTATTTACAGGGTACGTCACATACATGGAAAGAGGCGTTAAACAACAAACAATGTTTATATGTTATTGTGTTAATACTCTGATCAAATACTGATGTTAAGCGCTTCTGATCCTTGTGACGAATCATTCATTAATATACACACGCATACGGGCAATGTAGGTAATGTATTTAAGTTTCACCTTACGTAAATACACAATACAGAAAGCCAATTCCAGAGCCATTCACACATGGATATGAGACAATTATGTTTCTTTAGTTATGAGAAATGTGGATATATCCAGCTATGTTTGACTAGACTGTATAACATAAGGGTAGTATAATGAGGGAAATTTATGGATGTCAACTTCTTTATTATGAAGAACACAATTGTTTGGCTTCATTGTCTATTGCTAATCACCTATCAGCGGCAAATATCAGTTGGTCTCCTTTGTCAAGTTTCTACCTTTTCTTATCTTATTACTCTTGTTGTTTTTACAGGTATGTACATGCCCTCTGCCTGATATAATTCATTCACCTGATGTAAGAGTAAGCATACACTTCGAAACGTTGTGTTCCTCATAAATGTTGACATCCATAACTTCTCTCCCCTCTGTGTATCACTTCTAAATGCCCTTCAAAGACTTGATAACGGTAATATGTTTATAATTCGAAACTTAAAATCAGTTTAAACATAATAACAACATCCCTTAAGAAATAACCTAAGATATGCCCCAAATATACTACCCCCGATCTCTGGTTGTGACGTCAGTGCTGGACCTTCACACCTTCAGATCATCAAGAGTGTCACTTTGTTTCAAGAGATTTCTCTCGACAATATTTTTTTGGGGCAATACACAGCGGCATTAATCTGCCCTGAAGCCGGCCATAACAAAACTCTTGAAATGTAGGTTGATCTGGCTCTGTGTATTCTGTATAAGCACGTCACCATTCCAATTCAATGGAACGACACGTGACGTGACTCGGACGCAAGGAAGGAAGATCAGGAAGAGATTGATGGGGCTGGGCTATGAGGGTGGCCGCCATTCTGCTCCAGTCTTATTAACCTTTGTTACCTTACGGTGTAATAACTATAAGAAGTTACTGCTATTCCAGGCAATGATAATACGACTCCCTATTAGGTTATAAGAAAGGCTGTAATGCTATTCCGCACAAAATCATGGACATTGTTTTAATGTTGTCTCTGTTCTATATTCCCTGCATCTTGAAGCACTATGCGGAACGGTCGCAATGTGAAAAGACAAGATGAGATTACAGAGCCCGAATGCAGATATCTCAACTGTTCCCTGGCTTCCTCAAACAACATCCCCTGTGAGTTATGTAAGACCACATTAGCATCACTGACACTGAGTAATGTAAATTGGCACTTCTATGATCACTTCTCCTAAGACAAGGATCAAAATACAGATTATTATTTAACTTGTCTGCCTGTTTTGAGGCAAACCTAGCAATCAAGCGTGTAAAAGACAACTTTGTACCAAATCCAGATATGTTACACAAATTAACAATACAGGTTTTCTCTCCGTGAAGGGCGGGCCATCTCTGGAGAATATTGCAGTAATACATATTGTGTCAAGAGTAAATTAATAGACTTACAAACCAATTTTCGTATATACGTAGTCCGGATTGTCTTACAAATATCTTTGCTTTGATGAAAACTCCTTTTGATGAAGCCATGTTACAGCGTTAGACGTGCTGCCATTACAACATGTACAAAAAAGAACACTCTCACATTGAGGTTTTGGCATTTCCCCCCCCGAGTGAGGCATTCAATGGAATTCCGGCAGGATCTGCACCGTGTCTGACCAGCATTCAGTGGAATTGTGAAGCGATCATTACCAACTCCTTGCAGCATGCTTCACTGGGTCTCGGGGGAAGCATTAGGACTCAGTTGTGTTAATTTGTGTTTCAGCGTTACTCTGTTAGTTCTAATACAGTTCTTGTCTGTGATGCTAGCACACTGTCAGTAAGTTTTTGTCACGAACCTTTGTTCCCTCATCACTAGAGTGTCGCTGACTTGTAGTTATCCACACCGAATGGGTGTTACTTCGACATAACGAGTTACTAGATTGAGAAGCGGAAATAAGGAAATTTCATCCGAGAAATGAAAAATGAGGTGGTCGTCGTTTTTAAGACGTATAAATTCGTTTCCTCAACGTTTGAATGACGAGTTTTTTTGGTTGCTTTGGCTTTGTTATTAGTTTGACGATTTCACGTCATATAGAAACGTTTTGACAGAGACAGAACAAGATGTCTTTTAAACGCCTTTGGAGAGTTTGAATGTTCGGTACATGGCGCTTCGAGCGTGTGATAAATACGAGACATAAGACAACATAAGCAAGAGGTTGGCTGCTAGGATTACCTGTTTGTTATGTCATGGTATCCCTCAACGCGTGGACCGGTAACGTTGATAGCATCCGTGTCAATCATATCGGATTAATGAATTTGGTTTGGTCGCCCCTGTGTGTACGCAATTACATGACAATTGTGTGTATAATCATACATATACAAGCACCTGCATGACAGTTGTGGATATAATCACACATATACAAGCACCTGCATGACAGTCGTGTGTATAATCACACATATACAAGCACCTACATGACAGTTGTGTGTATAATCACACATATACAAGCACCTGCATGACAGTTGTGTGTATAATCACACATATACAAGCACCTGCATGACAGTTGTGTGTATAATCACACATATACAAGCACCTGCATGACAGTTGTGTGTATAATCACACATATACAAGCACCTGCATGACAGTTGTGTTTATAATCACACATATACAAGCACCTGCATGACAGTTGTGTGTATAATCACACATATACAATCACCTGCATGCCAGTTGTGTGTATAATCACACATATACAAGCACCTGCATGCCAGTTGTGTGTATAATCACACATATACAAGCACCTACATGACAGTTGAGTGTATAATCACATATATACACGCACCTGCATGACAGTTGTGTGTATAATCACACATATACAAGCACCTGCATGACTGTACTACACCAGTAGTATTCACACATTGTATCCATGTGGGGAAATGACCCCGGGCCTTCGGCGTGACGAGCAACCACTTTAACCACTAGGCTACATCACCGGTCCTCTGTCTATAATCACACATATTGTACAAGCATGTATATGACTATTGTATCACATATCTACAACCCAGATGGATGGGTCAAGACCACATTTGCACAGGCACCATTTTTCTAATCGGAAGTGATAAAGCCATCGTATAGTACTCGTGTCTTGAAGACATAGCGTCTGAATCATCAGTTAATCATCCGTTTTCTTTGGGAAATTTGTGTTACGAATTGGAAATAATTGTCGTCGGCCATAGGGTAAGTATATCGTTATAATCAGGAATATGATATGCTTTTTTCGCTTCATATTGCAACAGACATATAACACAGATCTTAAGTTAACAACTATTAGAAGTGAACAACTGATGTCAGAATGTACCTCGTCTGACGGCCTCGATACTACCAATCGACTCTGGGAACGACCACACTTGAAATCCTACTCACCTTCGACATTTGCCAGCTGTTGAGATGCCCTGTGATGCATGCACATAGGAGCGAAATAAACGCCAGTGAAATGTGTTACATTAGCAACATGTTACACTCTGAAAACAAACCATTACCGCTTCGGTTTACACAGAAAACAATCCTTCGCAGGTGCAATTAAACAAGTTGGTGTATATTTCCAAGAACTGGGAATTGTTGGTTCTCACCAGAAAAAAAGTCGATGAAGAAGGATCCTGCTAAACCATATGGACAACTACATGTTGGAAAAGGATACTTTAAATTCTATTATCTTGTCAAATGTAATTACTGACATCAACTTTCGAAGGGAAATACAATTACAAACGTTATAGATATTTTTTACAAATTTCTCCCAATAAAAAAAATATATTTTGTAAGTAGTATAAGCAGTTATTCTTTCTGTAATAAAACTGACATTGTAAATTATATTGTCATATAATGGGTAAGGTTTCTCGGCAGGACAAAGGCAACGGAGAAAAACGATATCCATTGGGGTAACATACGGACATAGATGAAAATATCAAAGGTCAAGTGCGGACTATTGTCAGTGTTTACAAACATGGCGTCGCCCTTGTCATTCGGCTATCGAGTCAGAATTAACCATCGGGAATCTGGAGAAACTACTGGGATAATTGCTATGATTATCAAAAGAATAGTCTATTATACTAAAAGCAATGTCTAATTGTGACGTTTTCTAAGTAATTATACAAGTTTTGGCAACTTTGGAGATTGCGAAACAATTCAACAAGACCACTAGCCTACCTTCTAACGTTATAAATCTTAAGGCGCATATTCCAGGAAAGCTTGACATGTTCTGGTGATGAATGTGAGAGATGGGAAGAGATGTTTCACAGAATTGAAGAATGGCATTATATGATAAAGAGGATACCAGGCTTGTGTGTTTGGGGGGTGGTAAATATTCTGTTTAAAGAATAAACACGATGTATGTAGCTCGCCAAGTCTCGCTAAATGCAATGTTTATTCCTAATATAGGATATTTACCACCCCCAAACACACTCGCGAGATAACCTCTCTATATTTATTAATGAACATATTGGAAAAAGTTGCATACATCTGAGCGTGTAGATATATCAATGTAGGACGGTGCACAAGAATCACGTAAAGCATGAGACTGTTTCATTCACAAATTATGGCAACCAGTGAGTTGGTAACATAAACACG